AAGGACATTAGCGGCGAATACCTTCTGGGATTACAATGTTTAAATTTACCCTTTTCTTTAATTTACGAAATTATTTTGCGTTATCTTATTTTCCTGTTACTAATGTTTATAACATTAGAGTAATTATAATGTTTATAATAAAAATAACCATCGATATTCATAGCACTAGTAAAAATACATTTTCCCGCCAAATGAAATCCGGTAAAGCAGAGCCATCTAGTGTAGAGTAATTTCATAAAAAAAATATAAAAAATGAACACAGCATTTCCCCCATTTTTTGTTCATTTTTACCCGGCGCGAATGGGTTAAGAACATTTAGAATCTATTAATAATAAGGTCTTAAAAGTAAAACAAAATAACGGTAAACATTATTTTAAAAATCAAAGCATGAATAGTATACATTAAAAGTATAAAATTACTTCATAAGTATTATGCATAATCTGTGTCACAATCCTTCCAGTGCATTTTTTAGTGTATATGCCACTGTTCATGGCTTTTGGCATCCCTCACAACCTGCTTCACGTTTAGCCATCACTGGCCTATGATTCGTCTTTGTGTGCTTGATTCTCAGCCTTATTAACACAACTTTTTGTTGGTTGGTGTGGACGCAGGTTATCCAACTGCCAAGGTCTCGCAGTTCGTTTCAAGAGGTATGCCTCCTTTGTATAACAACATGCACTGGCAGCCAATACAGTTATTTACTATCGTGCTGACATCAGCGCAAGCCAGTCTTGATGGGTTTAAGCTCTTGATTGCTTGTAAAGCACTACGAGAGTCGCAATATAGTACAACAGAACGGCCTCAAGGTCTCTAGTCATCTTGACTTCTGCAAGGATAGCATGTAACTCTGCAGTGAAGAGCGAGGCCGCCACCATGTTCAGATTTCGAACCAACTATATAGCATTTAATCTTTGATAGGTACTTCGGATCTCTCCACCCTCCATTTTCCAACCAAATACTGCTCGACTAGATCGGTCCAAGGCGGAAACTGGAAACTCATATTCGCGTAGTCTTTGTGTAATGAAAGAGGTGGTTCTCCACTCTCAGCATACATGGACTCCACAGGTGAAGACCTGAAAGCCTCAGCAAAGATTCTGAGAATTTCATTATGATCTGAGTCCAATTTCATAATTCCTCTCTAGATGTAGGTAGAAGAATATAGACTATGTGAGCATAGCTGTTTCCTTTAGAAGTAGGAATTTTACTCTAGGACGTGACCTATACCCAATCCCAGGTAACCATGGAATTGCTCTTGTAGGCAGAAGCCAGACAGTATAAGCACCAATGCTGACTAAATACCATACAATCTCTGCCTACAAATGCATATAATTTGCAGCGTAATTTAACAGAAAAGACAAAACCCAAGAATGTCCTAGAATTTTCATGTAAGGCTGTAAGTCATATATACTCTCAATCAAATCCTATTCATTCCATCCAAATCTTAATTCTCTATTGGGTTTTATATGTATTAGTTTCCTCATTGGCTAAAATAGACATTCTTGATTTTTTTCTTCTATTTTATGTTAACTTATGTCTATTTGGATGCAAAGATTACACGCTATTCAACCAGCACATTGTCTAGCTTCTACCTTGCAAGAGTCATAGTTACATACTATGACTATTACATACTTCTGCCTACATCTAGAGAGGAATCATGTGGACTGTTAACTTTTATGATAGTAACCACAGCTATGTTATGGAGAAAAAAATGAATGCAAAGTTTTGATATGTACATGAGAATGCGTTTGTTTATATGATACATGGTTGGGGTCGTAATACATGCACTTTCATTGATGAACTTACTACATAAGATCTCTTAGTTTCATTAAAATCTGTATATTATCCCCAATTTAGACCTTTAAGTTTAAATCATTATGTTATTGATCTACATATTACATGAGTTACTTTTAAGATAATGTGAGCCATCTTGGATTTTAGCCGCCATTTTGATTTTTTGACTTCCCACTCAAACTGGCATGCTTCTATTGACTTCTTCACCTTAAAATTAGTCACAATAGATATCTCATTTATTTTGTCCTCTAATCTAGAAACTGAGATATAGAATTTTATGGTTTACGACATGTCGTTGGCAGCCGTTTTGGATTTTGGTCGCCATTTTGATGTTATTACTTCCTGCATAGAATTGTTTGCACCATTTGGCAATACTCTGGAGCATTGTTCATCCAATATTCGTAACTTGCACTGGCACCCGTGGCTTCTCGGACGGACTGCAGATTCTTTAATTTATTTTTTTCACAATTCATTTCTAACCTCCAATGATTGTAGGCTTAAAGTCACCGAGAGACGCCATTAAAGTCAGTCAAACCTGGACTCCAACAGCGAGCACGAGCCTAAACAATTTCAGAAACATTTTTGAAACCATAGGTGATGAACGTTTACGTACATACAAGAAGTCAGTACAGTATTGATACGATAAATTTATTAAGTACAGTATTAATATGATACATTTATTCAGTAGCCTGAATCTTTTATTCGTACGATAGGCATCCCTATGAACCTTAATGACTTCCATCCTGGATCCTAACAACGGGCACGAGCCTAAAGAGATGTTTTTGAGGCTAATTTGTTCAAATACATCAATCTTTCAAAAGAATTACAACGTTAACAAATGTAATAAGAATCACTGGATTTATTGTTATGGTACGTTGCCTGCCCTGCCCTTACATGTCTTTTTTTTCTTACTTTTTCTTCCTCTAATAATGCGTAACTCTAAAAAAGGGAACGCTTATAATGATGTATTCAGTCTTCTTATGAATTAATTTTAGTTACTCCCTCTAACACTATTCACTATTCCGAGTCGGATTTAATTCTAAAAATGACCATGTCTTATATATAATCATGATATAATTTCATAATGTTGCATAAACATTCGCTCATTTTACTAAGAATGATTTTATGTGAGCAAATTTTAAGATGAGTTCCATATTTCATATTATCATTATTATTATCATTATTGCATATATTCTTTTTGTTGCAGCTCTTTAAGTGTTCTCGTATATCAATGACTTTGAGTTGTATTAAGCAGAACCTTGGGATGTATATTCTTTTATTTATGACACCAGACTGATATTTGCCTCGAATGCATATTTATCATTTAATCCTTTGTAGTCATACGATGCAAATTATCCAATGCAACATCTTCAAAAAAAGAAGTAATAAATAAAATTACATAAATAAATATATGAATAAATAATCGAAGTATAAAAAAACGTCAACAGCTCTAATAAAGATCACTGGATTTGTTGCTTTAGTCTTTTGGATCTTCTCGTTGACTATCGCTTGCAGAAGTAGTAGAATAAAAGGACCTGTTTGCCAAGAGTCTGACAGATATTTTGCTGTTTTCGTTTGATGTTCCACCTTACGGAGGATTTTTGGTTTTCTTTTAGACTTTTACGTTCTTTATACAGTTACGGGATCACGTTTCTCTCTCTCTCTCTCTCTCTCTCTCTCTCTCTCTCTCTCTCTCTCTCTCTCTCTCTCTCTCTCTCTCTCTCTCTCTCTCTCTCTCTCTCTCTCTCTCTCTCTCTCTCTCTCTCTCTCTCTTTCTCTCTCTCTCCCTCTCCCTCTCCCTCTCACTCTCCCCCCCCGCCCTCTCTCTCTCTCTCTCTCTCTCTCTCTCTCTCTCTCTCTCTCTCTCTCTCTCTCTCTCTCTCTCTCTCTCTCTCTCTCTCTCACCCTCCCTCTCTCTCGCCATGTAAGCTTTGAGGAAATATTGACGTTAAATTACAGACTATTTTTATCTCTTGTGTTCAGTGAGAATATAAAGACCATTTTCCCTATCATCAACTCACTCACTCTCACTCTCTCTCTCTCTCTCTCTCTCTCTCTCTCTCTCTCTCTCTCTCTCTCTCTCTCTCTCTCTCTCTCTCTCTCTCTCTCTCTTATATTACTCCTCTCTGCAGAAATGCAGTCAGTGCCCTAACTGCAAACAAAATTTAGCTCGTCATGTAATCTTGGAGGAAATATTTAACTCTTGTGTTCAGTGAGAATATGAAGACCACTTTCACCATAATGAACTCTCTTCTCGTGTCCTTTTACGCTTTCAGTTCCATTTGCTTACAGGTCATTACAGGTACAGAGAGGGTATTCTCCAAAGAACATGGTTATGCTAGGTACTTCCATGCCATCGCCTTTTGAATACCGTCTTTCGGTCAAGGGAAAGGCCATGTATAGCACTTTCACTTGATTTTCTTTCAGGAAAAGAAAAGCAAACTCCAGAACCTCCTTGCTTATTCCAACAGATCGAGGTTCACAAAGGAAGAGCAGGTTCTTGAAGTACTCACCTTCATTGTTGCCGAGAAGACGCGGGTGAATGTGTTGTCTGTTGGCAATAGCCTGGCTTATATACAGCTGATGCTCGAATTCCACCCACCACTTCCCCCCTCTCCATCCTCCTCTTCCCCTCCCCCAGTTCCTACCTCGACCTACCCTACTCCCCCCCAGCATTCCCTACTGCCCCCACCCCATGATTTGGGAAAATCCCACACCGATGCCATGAACTTCACCTAGTGTAAATTTAGCGCCCTGTCCCACAGCCACAGATAAGACAAAAGGAGAAATAAAACGGTGAGATTAACAGATTCCATGTAAATAGACGATAGAGGAGAGGATCCGGTATGGAAGATTATCTGCGTATTTTGCATTAGGTTCTATTAATTTTAATTTGAGTCCTTGGATACTGCTGTTACACCATGTAAGATTCGAAACCCGGACGAGAACCTTTTGCAGCAACTTATGCGGTGCTAGACAGCTGCTCATTTTTTTTAAAGATTCACACCCTAAACAAAAAAAAATCGTTTTACACTCAGCACATTTGGTCGAATAGCAGACAAGAGACTCGTTAGATTAAAGGAGGGATGCCCGTGTATGAATTACCGTTCCTTCGCTGACATTATCACCATTACGAACTCCTTCAGTGTTACATGCCCGGTTATCGCAAGAAGTGGTTCTTCGCATACGCACGTTCGGGGGCGTTCTTT